TGGTGGAGTCAATGCATTTTTGCATCTAGGTGGAGTCACATCTTTTTTCTCTCTCAAGGCAGTTTACCAAGGGTGTAGAGAGAGTGCAGACTCCTAATGTCAGGGGAAAAGGTCTATGCCTGGAGGTGTTTCAGTGGATGTCTGGAAACCCTGGTGATCAACTAGTTTGCAGGCCAGCATGCAGCAAAGCTTTCATGTTCTTACATGGGCACATTCAATCTGCGTGTCCCAAATTCCTTTCAATAGAAGTTTTTTTTATCTTGCACAAGCCAAGTTTTATTTATACAAAATCACAGAAAGCACATTTGCCGCCTTTAGCTAAGATTCATTTGAAACAAAATTCATTTCATGTGGCAGTGGAAGTAGCTTTTGAAGATTAGGTCATCGAGCCAGGAAACAGATACAGGATGACATGGCTTAAGCAACTAATCAAATACTGAATTTTGAATACCGAATATTTTCAGGCATACCAGGATTGAGCAGTTTATGAGCAGTCCACAGGCTGAAATGTATTTACATACCACAATTGAACAATTTTGAATAATCAAAAAATTAATATATAACTGCAGTCTGCTTGCAGAAAGGAAAAGAGGCATAAGTTTACTATGCACCACCCTTTACTCAGAGCAGATAGTTACATCACAGTCTAGGCTTGAATACAATGCTTGTTTTCAACTGTTTGCCTGACTCTTCCAATACCACCACTTCCCATTAACTCCTTTGTTTTCTTTCCACACTGTACTATGTATGGTTTATATTCTAAGCTCCTGTCCTTCACTTTGCACCAGAAATGGTGCCCGTTGAGAATGAACATCTTGTCCAATAAAAACTACACTGAGAACACAGGCCACCTAACATCTAGACAACGGTAATAAATTTCTGTCACTCCTGACCTACACCAGATTTCAGCCTGTGACTTTGGGGTGAAAGGTTTTGTATCCTAATACCAAATTTCTGAGCTGTCCATTATTTTTTTAAATTAATAACAGAAAGGAAAAATAGCAGCTGGTTACTCAGATATTGAAATATTAGGTCACAATAGTACCTTGAAGTCACGGCCCTGAGTTTGGGGCAGTGGAACTCTGGAGTTCCCCAGCAGGTGCTCTGCTAAGCACTATGACTCAGGTAGACATGTTGCCTCTCAGGGTATGTCTACACTGCAATTAAAAACCCATGGCTAGCCCATGCCAGCTGAATCAGCTATGTGCGGCTCAGGCTATGGGGATGTTTAATTGCAGTATAGATGTTTGGGCTCTGTTTGGCACCCGGGCTCTAGGACTCTATAGGGAATGGTGTCCCTAGCCTCTGTTCGCCAGAAGCTGGGAATGGACAGGGAATGGATCACTTGATGATTACCTGTTCTGTTCATTCCCTCTGAGGCACCTGGCATTGGCCACTATCGGAAGACAGGATACTGGGCTAGATAGACCTTTGGCCTGACCCAGTAGGGCCGTTCTTATGTTCTTATGTAGGGTGGGAGGGTCCCAGAGATTGAGCTGCAGCCCAAGCTTGAAAGCCTTCACTGCAATTAAACAGCCCCTTATCCTGAGCCCTGCAAGACCAAGTCAGCTGGGACAGGCCAGCCACAGGCTTCTTATTGCGGTGTAGACATATCCCAGAGCTCTGGGGAGCATTATATCTAGAATGCACTGAGTGGCTTGTATGGAAGGGAATGGTTCAGTAATTACATTTTCCTCCATACTCTTGCTGTCTTTGGTATGGCTAGCAATGTAAAGGTCACTACCCAGAAAACAGTCATTGCATCAGGGAAATTTGGTCCCAAATGGCTGGAATCTGATGAAATCAACTTTTCTCAAGTGAATTTTGCCATTTTGGATAATATCCACAGCTCCAAATTTTCTGTTGGCATAGCTCCATTAACTTCAGTTGCATTACACCAGCCAGGAGTCTGGCCCAACATGCCATTTCTGGATTTGGACCTCGGAAGAAAATACGAAGAGTCAGATGATTTGATTCCTGCTTCTTAAATTTGGGAGGAAGGGAGTAGATTTTGAGATTCTGCATCAAGACTTTCTTTAATTAAAGCCCCTGAAAAACCTATAGTAGTTCTCATGCCCTCCTCAGCCCTTTAATAACATGCATAAGAGAAAAATGGAGTAAATAAGCTCTTTAAAAACAAAACAAAGGGCAGCAACACAAGGGTTGGAAGATTTTACAGAGTATTTAGAGTATCATCTCCATCCTTACATAAGAGAGGTGTTGTTTTTTGTTTGGTTGGGTTTTTTTTGTGCTTCTCAGGAGTTGAAAACCCCTCCACATCCCTCCCCCGACTTTAATGACTCAAGTTCAAGGTTTTTAGGGTATATCTGCACTGCAATTAGACACCTGCAGCTGCCCTATGCCAGCTGACTCAGGCTTTCCGGACTCAGGATAAGGGGCTGTTTAATTGCAGTGTAGACATTCAGTCTCAGGCTGCAGCCTGAGTTCTGGGACTCTCCCACCTCAGGTCCTAGAGCCTGGGCTGCAGCCTGAGCCCAAACATCTACACCACAATTAAACAACCCCTTAGCCTCAGCCTCATGAGCCCAAGTTAGCTGACATAAGCCAGTCACCGGTTTTTAATTGCAGTGTAGATATACCCTCAGTGACACAGATCTTAATTCCATCCATCATGAACTAGATAGGATTCTGCTCAGTGTCCATTCATGCAACTCCTTCACTTGCCAGTTATTTAGGGTGTTTCTTCTCCAAAGGCAGAGGCCACTGCCTGCTCAGTACATTTGCCATGCTTAAGAGCAAGAGAACACACCTGTAATGATCTAGGCATTGTGAAGCAAAGCCACTGATCTGGTCAGTTCTTAATGATTGCTGTACTGTAACAACACCTTCCAAGTGATTATGGATAATCAAATATTTCCATTATTTGTAAATGAACATTATTTACTTGATAGTCAAAAGCCAGCTATGTTAGGGTTGATTGAATCAGTTCTGGGGAATCAAATGTGCAATGAATCCATGTGCAAAAATGCCTTATAATTTTTTATTGATGCATTCATATGTATATTTCCTCTTTTTTTAAAAAAAATCAAGTGGCTAAGATATCTTTAAAACTGTTAGGAAACATAACTACAATATTTATATTGTTTGCTCTTCTTTGGTCCAGTTCCTAGCTACCAATCCAGAATTAGGGGTTTATTCTGACACCCTTACAATACTCACATCGAGTAGTACTTTACTACAGTACTCCTGTCAGATATGCCTCATACACACCATAAAAAAGAATGTGTAGGAGCTTGGATGAACACTGAGCCAGTGATGGCAGGTTGCTAAGTGATACTGCACGTGGAGCACTTTCACTCTATGATTACTGGAGTCTTCCCTCTTTAGTGTATCTAAGCAACCGTTGTATCTTATGATACAGTTAATCCCAATATTGAAGCACTTGTTCATGTGAATAGTCCTAGTGGTTCTAAAGAAGACCTCTTTCCATGAGTATAGGTTGCAGCATTGAGTCCCAGATACCCTAACCACCTCAGAGGTTGATGGGGTATCAACTGATGTTGGTTGTCATTTTGGAAATGGTATATTAACTCTTCTACCCCAGGGTGTTTAAAAATATGAGAACATTAATAATTAAAATGCAAATAATGTGTAGCTGCTAGAAACAAGATTTACACCAGTTTTTTTTAAATAGAGATCTACCATATATACTTGTTCATAAGCCGAATTGTTTTAGTAAAAAAGGGAAGTACCAGAGAAGGGGGTCGGCTTATGAATGGGTATAGAGAGGGAGAGGTGGGACACAGCCCCTCCCCCCAACAGAGAGAGCAAGGAGAGGCAGCACAGCCAGAAGGGAAGAGGCAGGGCCAGAGTCTCTCCGCTTCTGGCCACGCTGCTCTCCCCCCAGCCTCTGAAGCAGCTGCAGCTCTGGGGCTGGCAGGCTGCAGCCACGCCACTCGGCCCAGCCCCCCAGAGCAGGCTGTGGCCACGCCACCGGAGCATGCTGCGGCCATCCTGCCCAGCCTGCCAGAGCAGCTCCAGCCAGGTCAGAGACATCCTCCCCTGGCCCTCCCAAGCTAAAGTGGGAAGGGATGGGATGGGGAGAGTGGGGGGTCCTGGGCTGGGATGGGGTCATGTGGGGCTTCTCCCCCCCAAAAAAATTTCCCCACCAGTTGCTGTCCCGGCCCATCAGGGTAAGCCGTTGGTGCGCCGGGACACTTTGTTTACTTAGGTTTACCTCCATGCCTGTGGACGCTCGAGGTAAACAAACCATCTCGGCCCGCCAGCGGCTTATCCTGATGGCCCGGGTGCGGTAGTTTGCTGACCCCTGAATTATAGGGTCGGCTTATGAATGGGTTATAAAAATTTTCCATTTTTACTTATCCATCTTGGGGGGGTAGGCTTATAAACGAACCCGCTTATGATTGAGTATATGGTATTTTAAAATTGCTGGGAAGCAAAGATTTTACTTATGAAAGAAAATAAATGTAGGTGTAAGACTGAGGCCTCAATTCTGCAAAGACTTGCTCACATTTAATTCATAGACTGTGAATTGTTACACTGACTTCAATTAAACTTTAAGGGGCATAAATCTTTGAAGCATTGTGATCTATAGTAGAATACTCACTTGCTCAGTCCCATTGCATACCTTTGGAGTTCCTTTAGTCAATACTACAATGTCTAGGCTTCACAAGGCTTAGCCTTGGAACATTAACTCAGAGTGTCTTTGATAAAACTGTATGTATGCTTGTTTCATTGTAACTGTTGTTTTAACAAAATTATTTTATTTAATTGGTTGTATTTCAGAGTAATACACTGAAATAATATTTCAGCATCAACACCATGTTCCCTTTTAAAATGAAGATGTTTGATGTATGACTTTTTGCCCATGGCCAGCTAAATGTTTTAGTCAGTTTTCATCAGTTTGCAAGCATAAAATATTAGAATATTTTAAGTGTCTGAGTGATTTTTTCCCTCATGCTAACAAGAAATTATATAAAATTCAGATGACAAAAATATTTGTATATTTGTTTTTACAGTCTTTATACGGTGCTGCAGTTTCTACTACTCCAGAATTACCTCTCTTCTATACTCCTATTGATTTGGTAGACATCAGTGTAGAAGTGGCTGGACTGAAGTTTCCAAATCCCTTTGGTCTTGCCAGTGCAACTCCAACTACTAGTTCCTCAATGATTCGAAGAGCATTTGAAGCAGGATGGGGATTTGCTCTGACCAAAACATTCTCCCTCGATAAGGTAAGGAAATATTTTAAGGCGTATGTAATTTCATGGTATGTTCTAGTCATGATCTAAATGTTTTGAGAATATAAATAAGTATTAGATCCAGTCAACTAAAAAGCTTTTAGGAGTTTATTAATATTCTACCTACTTTTCTACTATTACTACTCAGTTATTTGCTTCTGGTAGTACCCATTGAGTGCTAGGTGCTGTAGAGCAGTGCTTCTCAAAACCGGTTCGCCGCTTGTTCAGGGAAAGCCCCTGGTGATCCGGGCTGGTTTGTTTACCTGCCCTGTCCACAGGTTCGGCTGATCGTGGCTCCCACTGGCCGCGGTTTGCCGCTTCAGGCCAATGGGGGCTGCGGGAAGGGCGGCCAGCACATCCCTTGGCCCGCGCCGCTTCCCGCAGCCCCCATTGGCCTGGAGCCGCGATCGGCCGAACCTGTGGACGGGGCAGGTAAACAAACCGGCCCAGACCGGCAGGGCTTTCCCTGAACAAGCGGCGGACCGGCTTTGAGAAGCACTGCTATAGAATCCAAACAAGGTACAGCCTTCATTCCAAAGCATTCTCAGTCTAAAAGAGACAAAATGAACAGATAGACCAAGTATAGCAGGAGAGTGTTCTGATTGCTTAATAAAGGGGGAGGTTGGCCTCCTTTTGATAAAACAATGTTTGATAACTATTTGTTTCCATTTTGCTGATAATACATAGACTATCTCCATTTAACCCTCAGCCTTACCATTACTAATCAGCTAGTTTCTTTTAGGAATCATAATGGAAATGGGTCTTCAGGCAGGATTTGAATTGAACAGCTCACAAAGACCTTTCCACATGTAAGGGCTATCAGGATGAAGTCAAAGAAATGATTGTGTGAGCAATGGATTTATGTATCTATGTAGCTGTTGGAATCATAGGGGAGTTTAGGAATGGTAGCAATATAAGATAAGACAGAAAGATAGGGAAGAGCAGGGCTTTACTGAAGGCCTGGAATGCAAGGACAAGAAGCTTGAATATGAAGCAGTAGGAGAGCAGAAGCTAGTGTAAGACAAGGTCAGAGTAATGGCCAAGGAAGATGATCTTAATGGCAGTATTTTGTACATATTGGGAGTGGGTACCATGTGTGTTAGGCCAAGAGAAGGAGGAGGTTGTAGCAATCAAGATGGGAAACTGAGGGACTGAGCAAGAATTTTAACTGTAAACACTGAAAGAAAAATACAAATCTTAGAAATGTTTTGGAGGAAGAGGCAACACATTTTGGACATGGCTTGACTGTGTGGGAAAAGGAAGAGGGAGGAGTCAAATATGAGCCCCAAGTTGCAGGTCTGAGTAGTATGGAGCATGGGTGTGGTATTGAAAAGCAACAGAGAATAGGATGGACTTGAAAAGAGCTTGGAGGAAAGATAAGGAGCTCAGCTTTGGCCATGTTAAGTTTCCTGTGGCAGTGAGATGATGTCAGTGAGGTAGCTGAGATGCAGAATTGGATGGATGGGGACATATCAAGAGGAAAGAGTCAAATTTGTGAGGCATCTCTGTAGAGATGGTAGTTGAAGTCATATGAGTGAATGAGTTTATCCAGAGAGAGTGTAAAGTGAGAAGAGAAAGGGAGCAGTGAGAGTGTCCTACCATGCTTCATTACAAAATATGTGTAGCCAAAATTTGATCTCAGTCATACAACCAGTATGAAGTAACTCCATAGAAGTCATTGCTACTTTGGATTTATACCTAAGTAATGGAAATCCAGAACTGGCTCATAGAGTACAACACATGTAGAATTTTTTCTTATTGAAACATTTTAAGGGAAGAGGTTTAATTGAAGCATACCTTGTCATCAGTGTTTGCACAGAACTCCCTGTTAATTTCAGTTAATTCAGTGCCTAAGTTGATGGGAGGATCCAGCCAATACTGAGAATTGTTTATTAATCAGATACACCTACAGCCATGTTACCTTGCACTGTGACTATATCAGATCTCATAAGTTAAGCAGGTGTGAGCTAGGTTAGTATTTGGGTAGGCTTCTTTGGAGGAACACACGTTACAGGAAGTAGTGTTGGCCTTTCACTGGCACTTTTGTCAGATTCAGTACTGAACCAGTGATTTATCATGGGGCTCCTGTAGTCGTTGTGCTGCTAGAGGTGAGGCTTTTGCTTGATGTCTTTCAGATCAGATGTTCAGTAAAACCAAGGTTCTGAAGTAGTCATTGAAGATCCCATGGTATTATTTTAATATAAGAGAAAAGGAGGTTGAGCAAAGTGCCCTTGACTTATTCAAACTTGGATTATTAGAATCTGCCTAGGTAAATTTCCCTGGAAGTCTTAGTTTGATATAGTATTATTCATTTCTGGCCCTAAGCTCTGGAGTAGCATTGCTGTGTGCTATAGAACAATTGTCATGTCCCACCCAAGAGCTGGCTGAAGTGATTTTTATACCATTATATCTTTTACAATACCTCCCAGAGGTGTTGAGCCTTAATGTTTGTGATGTGCTTTGAGATACAGAGATGTTAGGTGCAAAAAGAAATGCAATTGTTTCTATTTATGTAAACAACAAAATGTTAATGCTGTTAAACTACTAAAATATTTCAAATAGGAAGACAAGTTCAACAGTTCTTATTTCAACAATGAGTAGTACACAGAGATTCAGTCTGTTTAACACTTGAACAAATAATCAGAGTTTAGTCTGGAATAATATAGGTCAGTATAATGTACAATTGTCTTTGATCTGTTTGTTTAGTTAGCTTCTGATTACACTGATATAAATCCTGTGCAATGTTCAGAAGGGAACTGGAGACTCTTGGCCTGTAGAACAAGTGTAAGTGGAGGTTATGTGTGGGCACAAGTAAAACTGTGTGTCACTCCTCTGCATGGAGTAGAAGACTCAGACTTGACTTTGTGCACCAATTTACTTACGCTCATACATGTTGGGTAATAGGGGGTTTGCTGGTGGGAGAGTGTTGGCATGTCCAAGAAGACATGAGCTTAAGCATTATCTTCAGAAAACAAATGAAATCAGCTTTACCTGGCATTTACATACAATGCTGTGCACCTGCCCTATGCAAGCTCAACCCTCTAATGTTCATTTTTATATCCAATAAAGGTAAGTCAACACTGGAATAAAAAACCCGTGGCACAGCCACTGCTGGACCTGCTCAATTGACTCAGGCTTGAGGGGCTCAGGCTGCAAGGCATCACACTTAGACATTCAGGTTCGGGCTGGAGCACAGGCTCTGGGACCCTCCCGTCTTGCACAGTTCCACGGCTTGGGCTCCAGCCTGAGCACGAACATTTACGTCGCAATTTTACAGCCCCACAGCCGGAGCCTCATGAGCCTGAGTCAGCTGATCCAGGCCAGCCATGGGTGTTCAATTGTTGTTTGGACACAAACTCAAGAGCCAAGCATAAAATAGCTTCTGGGGCTACGGAGAGTTCTGCAGCAGCAGAAATGGTTCCCTCTTGCAAAATCTATGTACCTCTTAGTAGTGACTATATAATGCAATTCCAGCATCATGTGGCTGCCAGTGACTTCCCCTGTATCAGAGATATAGTCTGTATGCCAGCACCTGGGAATGACAATGGTGTTCTTTGGTACTTTATTAAAAATGGGTGAGGTGAGGCAGATTCCCAAGTTGGCAACTGTCATGGAGTGCAATCAGAGAGAAGAGCAGGGTGACAGTGAGAGAGATGGAAAAAGAGTACAGTTGCATCTGAAGCCTTAGCCCCAGAAGGAGGGAAAAGGCAGGAGCCAAGATGAAGATTTGTGGTACTTGGAAGGCAAGGGCCTCAATTTACGTAAGCTTTACTTCCTCTGCAAGCAGCTCATCGACTCACCAGCATGGAGTGCTGCTTCTTTTTTTCCTTTTGGTTTGACTTTGTGCAGAAGGCCAGTATGTCTCTAGACAGGTTGCACCAATGAATGTGGCCCTCCAAGCCTTGGGCAGTCCAGAAGAATGGGTGTAAATTTTTTTTGGCCAGAATTCCATTCTAGAACACCAGGGCAGCCACTCCTACAACCAGTGGGAGCCATCCAAGGTTTCTGTATCCCCTCTTACCCAAGGATTTTTGGACAGCAGATCTGCAGACATGGTGCCACAGATAACATAAGAACATAAGAAAGGCCATACTGGGTCAGACCAAAGGTCCATCTAGCCCAGTATCCTGTCTGCCGATAGTGGCCAATGCCAGGTGCCCCAGAGGGAGTGAACCTAACAGGTAATGATCAAGTGGTCTCTCTCCTGCCATCCATCTCCACCCTCTGACAAACAGAGTCTAGGGACACCATTCCTTACCCATCGTGGCTAATAGCCATTAATAGACTTAACCTCCATGAATTTATCCAGTTCTCTTTTAAACACTGTTATAGTCCTAGCCTTCACAACCTCCTCAGATAAAGAGTTCCACAAGTTGACTGTGCGCTGTGTGAAGAAGAACTTCCTTTTATTTGTTTTAAACCTGCTGCCTATGAATTTCCTTTGGTGACCCCTAGTTCTTATATTATGGGAATAAGTAAATAACTTTTCCTTATCTACTTTCTCCACATGCGTCTGTTCCTCAAAACCAAGAGCTGCTCTTGCCTCTCCCCTACAGTACCCCATGTGCCACAGAAAGCAGCAGCAGTGCTCCGTGTCATGTAGTATTAGGTCTCTCCCCAAACATTGCCCCACCCCCCGTTCAGCAGAGCCATAGTAGTTCCACTGTGCCTAGGGCCTTCTGTTTGTGGTGTATAGGATTCAGTCCTATGTGCATCATGACATGTGTTCTTGTGCAGTATTGCATTATAATTGTAACATACAGGCAATCTAATGTAAGTCATATCTGAAATTCTCTCAGAACATTTATATGCTTAAATAGATGCTACGGTAAATATTTTAGGAGGTACATGTTATTACAGTGTAAAACAGGTGTTAATTATAAACTATTGGATTGTGATATATACATATATGTATATAAATGTAAAATTCATTGATGTTTACAAAATCAAAGTACGGTATATCTGTGAATATCTGTACTAATGAATATCAAGTA